TAATGACTTTTGACTGTATATATATATTTCTTTTTAGCAAGATCGCTGCAATGTTTCTACCTACTATTATTTCGTATTTTTTTGCAGCATTATGCGCAAAAATTTTTTTGACCAAATAGGTCTTACGTCTCATTACTAGTTAGCTTTACAATTTCTATTTCAAATATACATATATTGGAAGAAAACTAAGGTACACAGGGAGACGAAGGAACCTAAAAATTAGTGAGGGATTTCATAAAAATGTACATATTTTAATTTTGTTAATGTATCATATAATCCTGATTTAATAATTATATTTGTATTTTAAATATTCAAAGTGTGTTTTTATATAGTAAGAATGTTTGCCGACTTATGATAAATATCATTAGTTTGGGAATGTTTTTAGGAAAAGTCACGAAATTTGCTAACTTGCATCTAATAAATAACTTATTTTTTCATCAGTGCCATCTTTACAGCAATATGGGCTACAGGCAAAGCAGTACACTGGGGCCCCTACGACAGCCACGCCACTCATAGAAATAAAATAAGAAATTACTGATTAGAAAAGGGCCCACGCTATGGGAAAGTGTGCAGTCGGCCCTCTCATTAAGACGCCCAACTTTTCATCTGTAAAAAAATGTCAAGGAGTTGCATTAATATGTAGCACTTTAAACAGTTTAAATTTAAAAAAAAAAAAGTTATTTTGCAATTTAACACCTCCGGGAATTTTTTATAATCTATTTGTATATTTGGCAACTTCTGTTTAAAAAATTTATTCTATATGTTCCCAAACTAGTCTGATCTAGTCTGATTAATCTAGTTAAGATTGCTGATAACAAGAATCAGTGTATTTTCCATGTTTTCGTATACAAATGGATGGGACTTCAGCATATTGATAAAATCTGAATGACAGCATTAACCACAATCATATTAAGCAGAATCTACAATACTTTCACAAATTTAGAAAGAATACACTGAAAGAAAAATTTCAGTTTAATTAAAATTAATAACATTTTACACACGAAAAACCTGAATTTGGTATATTTATTTTAAATAATATACAAATAAATATACACAACTCTTACTAGTTTATAGCTTGTATGTAATGTTGATTAGCTTTAATTCCAGTATGCTTTAGAAGATGATCCTGTGTATAATTTGTAAATGTTTAAACTAAAGTCTAATTCAAAGTCATAATTGCAAAGGTAGCTGATTTGACTTGAACTCATCCATTACAGTTTTAGTTAATTTTCTATTTACACTTCCTTGGGAAGAAATGCTTATAAACATTCTTGAAAAACAGCCATGTAATTTCAATGGTGCAGTTTTTTACTAAAGAAAAAGAATGGCGACTCATTATGGCGATATATATATTGCATACATACATTTGTATTATACGAAAATTATGTTTTAATTTGGTATTTATCTTGAAAATCAATAAACCTACTTACTGATTTTTGCTTCTTTTTATTCTGGTAGCAATCACTTCAAAAATGGATTCATAACGATTCAATTAGTGATTTTGCAAGAAAAATATTTTATTTTTGCAGAATGTTTTACCACAATTTTTCAATTACAAGCGACTCCCATGAATATATATTTTAAATGTTAAGTTTAAAAAAAAAAAAAGTTTGTTTTATTTATAGAAACTGTTGGACTATAAAATTAAAAAAAAAAAAAAACTGAGAGCTTTCAGATTTTACATCACGCACAATAGGAGCGTTTATTTAACGTTTTGTGTGTTACCTTTATTTATTAAATATCAAGTTCTTCATATTTAAACCATAAAATTCAATTCAACTGCAAAATCACAAAATAATTTTAAAATGAGCTTTAGGAATTTCCGATACACAATCTCATGCGATGGAGATAAATTTTTTTTTTTTCTTTTCTCTGTACAGTGTTGCCATTGCTCGGTTTGAAATTGCTTGAGTCTGTTATTAAAAACTTATAAATGCTTTACAAAACACGAAATTTGATAAAACAAATTCCAAAATTTTGGCTTCCAGATGCCCATATTCGAGTGGAGACGTAGATTATTCAAAATCTGATGTCTTGTTTTATCATAATGCGAAAAACATACGTACATTTATGCAGATTCTTCATTATTTAATTTCTTTAAATATAATATAGAGGGATAATACTTGGTGGCAACAATTTAAAAAGTGATTCGCCGTTTATAGTGAATCAATGCAAAATGCCAAAATGAAATTAATAGCCTTTATGGGCTAAAAATGCAGCTTAAAATGGCAGCATTGCTTTTAAAAGAGAAGAATTTTCATGCATATTATTGCTAGAACTTGCGACATTCTTAGTATACTTAAGTAACTTAGTTTTGTGCACTGAAAAATGTGCTTTCTTGCCCACTGGCCAAATTGCTTGTTTTTGCACAGCAATTCTAATTTTAATTGTAAAAACTGTTTTAACTGTATTTGGTGTTTTATATCTTTTAATTTTTAATAATGGTATTTTGGGGTTTCATGCATTTTTGCCTTGTTGGAAAGTGAGAACTGAATTTTTATTTGAATGACAAATACATCTCTAATGAGATTCGAGGAAATAAGTTTAAATAAAATGCATGATAAAAATGCATATAATTTAATATTCTGTACAAGTCATGTGGTGTACACATCAGATTTGTTATAATGAAAGGTTTGAAAAAAAATTTTCTTTAATATTTTCGACAGTTTATTTATTTATTTATCTCCTTCTCCCCATTATAAACCTAGGAAAGGAGAATATAACACTTCATGTGTGCCATAAAAGGATTTTTCTCAAGACTAATTGAGATCTCAGCATGTCATTTTCAAACATTTGCTGGCTAGGGAATCGTAGGATTGCCAATAAAAATACACTGACTGATGTTCACAACAACCACACTTCCACCCCTAAGTGTTTGTGAGAGGTTTCTGTCAGAGCTAAACATGAAGTGAAAGCCCCAAGACATATTTATTTGGAGTGTGATACTTATACTGGTTTCCTTTTATTAGCAGAAGAGTGGGGGAGAGAGAAAGAAGCAGATTCCAGGAAACTCCAGTTAATATAGCAAGCTGTGCTCTTCCTAAACTTTTTCCTTTGATTCAGCTCAGTATTTTTTACAGGCTATTATTTATCACAATCTTATCAGAGATTCTAATTCTGTAGCTTCAGCAGGATCTGTAAAGCATAAGCATGTTTCAAAGTCAATCAAGCAAAAAAGTGAGATTCCTGGGGAGGGGGGGTTGGATAAAGGCATATCCAACTGCAAGGAATATAGCACAGCAAAACAGAAAAAGTACCTTTCTGAATATTTTGCAGATTCTGACATAGCTGCCAAAACACATTTGTGCTTTGAAAACTGAGGATGATGGTTCGGTAAGAGCATCGAAACTTCCTTTGAAAATTTGCAAATACAGAGTGTTTCAAAAAGAATATACATATTACAAAGTGTTATTTTGTCTAAACTATCTACCATTGCACCTCAAAAGCCCAAGAACTTTCTTTTGATAAGAAGGAAAATACAAGCATTAACAACTACTGTCAAAGGCTTTCTGAGTGGAAATTAGATTTACTCCACAATTCTTAAAGCAAAAATTTATTCAAATACAAATATGAAAATTTTCTGTTCAGAGTTGAGCAGCGTCACCTCAGAGAAGTCTAACAGTAGGACAACCATTCAACGAAAACACCTTTCAACAATCATCCTGAAGAATTAGGAAGTTCACTTTAGGTAGCTTCCAATCCATTTTAAATATATTCTTGAAAATGGAATCTCCCATAAAGCCAAAGGCAGATGTGTAAGATGGTAAATAATAACTTGGTCTTTGATCTGCAGAAGAGGATTTGAAAATTCAAACAAAACTGAACTAAAAAAACTGAGGCTGGATACCAGTGGCATGCTGCGGCTGTGTTTGTTGAAGGGAACGAGGTATAAAGAAAAATATAAGCCCTGTACGATGACTGCACCTGGAATTTCATCTTTAGTACTAGTATTTGTTTAAGTACACAGAGATACTGGTCACTTTCAGAAGTGATTATTTTAAGGAGGTGGTCATCAGGTCAGGATTTTGTATTATGAATATGTAGACTCATATTTTGAAGGCTAATGAGTACAATAGTTAAAATGCTTTGGTGGATTTAAGATAATTGGACAAAAAGGGGAAGTCAGAATGATTTACCATAATAAATAAATTTTTAATTTGAATGGATGTCATAAATATAATTAGTTAAAACATTATTATATCTCAAAAAGAATAAAAGACAAGCAAAACAGATTATTTCTTACTTTTCTTATTTAGTTTTTCACATCTTATTAATCCTTTTAAAATTACTTAATATCTCACTCTGGGGTAAAAGGTATAATGTTCCATGCCTGTTCCGCAAATGTGAATATGTAAAGCAAATGTACCATTTGGCATTATGTGTGTGTTGTTTTAAAACATTACTAAAAAAAAAAAAAAAAAAAAACGAAAAAGGCAGACAAGTGATTGAGAAATGGATAGCTAATGAACGTGTATCATAAAACTGCATTAGAAGTTGCTTGTGCATGTTCTGTAATGATTCTTTAATGCAGAACTAACTTTTCGTATATCTTCCTTTTTCATAGTTTAAACTTGGAATTACTACATCAATATATTTTACATGCATAATTTCATCTGCCATAAGAATGCTTTCACGAAGACAAACTAAAATATAGCATTAAAAATTAATTCTGCTTATAAGAAACATGAGAAAATTTTAATTTCTTACGACCTACCACCAAGAGCAGCATATCTAAGCCTGTTAGTGGAACAGGCGACAGACAACTAATCCTTTTGCGCATAGAGCCAGCAAGACTCAATTCCTCCCATTTACATAAAAAACTACTACACTTGTATGGTGTGCGGGTTCAAAAGCGGTAAAGCAATGTTCCTATTAAAGCTTTTGAATATTGGTAAAACTATACTTAAAAGTATTAATATATAAAATTTTGGGGGATTACCCTAGTCCCTACAGTTCAATGAGATACACTACTACTGCATATATATGAAAAATATACAAAATATGCACAAATATTTTTATTTCAAATGAAATAAAATTTTTCAGCATTTCAAACATTTACAATATTTTCAATATTCTATGAAACTTTTTTAAAAAAATGTTTCATGATCTTGGACTAGGTTCCTAATCCTCCTGTTGCTCCTAATCCTAATCCTAATCAGGTACACTAACTTTATTGCAGCTAAGAGGTAAGCGTTAACGTGACAGTGGCTCAGGCCTTAAACACCTTATAGGTGATAATAAGAATAATAAGAGGTTGTCCAGCTCCATCCCAATTTTGAAGGGGAATTTTCCTGTAAATGGAATTCTTGGAATTTCTTTCTCCCACTTTGCTTCTCCTATCATCAATTCCTTCAATCAATTTTCATTTTCTTAGTGATAAAAAGGGGTTGTGACTGAAAAAAGTTTAAGAAACTCTGCTTTAAAGCAATCATAAAACTATACAAATTTTCAGCACTTTTCTTAACTAATATAATAAACTTTGTAGGACACTTTAAAAAAATTTAATAATAAATGAAATTTTTGAAAGACACTAAGATAAAAATTCTGTTAAAAATAAATAAAATACATTTTATGGACTCGTAACTGCAGATATATTATTTACATATTGATAGAGCTAATTAAAAAATTTCACTATAAATTCATTACATTCACTTTTATGTATTAACAAAAGTAAATCAATGAAACTTCTCAAAATTGAAATATTGACAACTTTTAAACTAAAATCACTGCTCAAAGTTTACATTAAATTTATAATTAAAAATAAAATACAAAGAAAAACGATGATCCTCTCCCCATCTTGCAGTTGCTGAAATTTTACGAATAACTTTAAAAAGGGGATGCCTTTTGATGATTTTGATTATTTCCCCACAACTAGTATATTTATTAAATTACATAATTGCTTTTTATAAATAATTAGTATATTTATTAAAACTACAAGTCCTACCAAAAATTGAGTTACTGATTCACTTCACATATTACAGATTTCATTTGAAATGATAAATTATTACATATGCTTTTCAGAGAAGTTTAGTAAAGTTTAATATTTTTAAAAAATGAACTCAGTAAATTCGTTTATCTCATACTTTCAAATGCATATACTCAAAACTAGAAATTTCATACATCCAAAACTAAAAATTCAAAATAAAATTTAAAACCTGGAATGCATTTTAATAAAACAGAATTTATAACAAAATTCCCAAAACTTCCTTTCCCAAAATTATTTTTTGCAAATGTATAAAAAGACATATAATTATTTTGAATAATCATTGATACCAATTCTGGTAATGATATCCTGGTATAAAATTAATATGAACAAATATATATAAAATAATAACATGACTAAAAGGTGCAAATCGTAATAAACTATTCTGCAAGTATTTCATTAAAGTCAGAATTTTTTTTAAAGGAAAATATCAAGAATAGCCATACGTTTATCTACAAATATGCATTATAAAGTAAAACATTACTACATGCAGTTAGTTAACGAACAACATTAATAAAACATGAAATTAGGACAAAATAGTTTAAATTGAAGGCCGTCATTTTTGTTAATCTTCAAATGTGAAACTCATTTACATTATAAAAGAAACACTCCCTATTTAAAATTATGAATCTAAGAAGCTTTAGCCATCCCCCAACAAATATTAATGAATAATTGTTCATTGCTCCATGAGCCATGCATGCTTGTATATATTGAATATATTGAATGCATATATTGAATACATGAAAATATATAATCTTATATATAATCACAACCTGGGAGTTATTTTAGACACAACTTTACTTCTTACAGATTCATGTTGATGCATTTCTACAGAATTCAATATATGCAGAATGAATTAGATTTTATATAATAGACTAATAATGTGAATGATACTGTCTTCTAGTTCTGAATCTCAGATCTTTGATAACTTTCATTTTTAAATTTCCAACGAAAAATGTTATTACAGATAATTTTACGATGTGGTCACAGAAGAATTTTTAAAGAGTTAAGTGGGTTATTCCAAATCGTTAACACTTGAATAAAAATTCTTACCAAACAGTGGAAATGATATCTCATCAATAATACTCGCAATATTTGAGTTACTTTTTCTCAAATCAATTACAAATCACCTTAAGCTTTCAACGTTTTTGTGATGCCCCAATATTTCAATTTTTCCTTCAAATCACTCATGTGGGACCGACTCGCATTCTGCAACAAATATAGAAACTAATAGAAAAGTCAGTTCACAGCTTATAACACAATTAAGTAAGTAATGTTTATAACTTACTTTAAAAAGAGAGGAACAATTGAATTATTTACATCTATTCAGCGAACACAAAAATGAATAATCAAATCAGTTCTTAGAACATTCACAAAGTGAGCACGCTTTAATTCTTGTAAATGACAGAATATTAATGTCGTTCCGTCCACGTCCGTGCATAATTCACAGAATGATATACAAAATATTTGCTATCGAAACACATTACATTAAAGCAATTAAATCTGAACACTGTTTTGGTATCCTTCTGGCATGTTACATATAATTAGAAGTGAGAAGAAGCAGTATCACACTTAAAACTAAATAAATATCTCACAGCCAAATGATATATACACATTTATTCTGCCTCTATCACACGATATGTCCCAGCGGAAGATGCACAGCTGCTTCTACTTCGCTATTCATTGCATTTGGCAGCGCGGAGCCGTAAGAATCTGGATATTTCCAACTCAACAAGACGGTTAAAATTTCACGGCATTAAATCGAAGTAAGTAGTTCGAATTTCTACCACCAGAGAACAGGATGTAACGCAGCATTAATACTAAGAAAAGGATTAATTTATTTAAAACAACAAATCAAATTTGAATAACTACAAATATACAGAATTTCATGAGAAGATAGCTATCAAACACCGCATGAGAATTATCAATAAGATTATATTTAAGATATGAATTACCAAATCAGGGCTGCAGTTTTACATGTTAAGAAACTAAATTTTTAGTCAATTGTTGGATTAATTTCCGAATGTAGAGAGGAGAGATCTTAAGATAAAAGTATGCTAAAAATATAATCTAAAAGTAAATATTCTATTGAAGATATACAAAATATAAATCTAATTGATAATACATATCGGTTTGAACCAGGTATATTTTCTTATACTTCCCAGCCGTTCCTTCATTTATGCAACTATATTAATTTTATGAAACCTATAAATATGCTTGAATACTATTCAGGCATAATTTTTTTCTTAATATGCAACTCTATTTAAGAAGTTTGAATATTTTCATTTAGTTTCGTTCTTATTTTTCTCCAACCTTATGAGCTTTGAAGCAAGTGCATGTATTTTGAACAGTAACAATAAAGAATATCTCATCATTGCTGTTTATAAGCCACCCAACAATAGCCTCAACACTCAAGATCTTGACTATATTCTCAACTTAGGTTATCCAACTATTATTGCTGGGGACCTAAATTGTAAACACGCTAACTGGAACTCCAGGCGAAATAATCCAGGCGGAATTATTCTTAATAATTACATCATCAACAACCCTGATATCAACATTTATGGTCCAGATGAACCTACGCATCTTCATCAAATCTCAAATACTTCTGATGTATTAGACATCTTAATTACCTTCAATGTTCCTCAAATACCTTTTCTCCAAGTGTATAAAGAACTTTTTCAGATCACCTACCAGTACAATTCACTTTATATGGCTTAAAGCATGGTCTTCCGCCTATAAAGTGCCGTATTAATTGGGAAAACTATGCTTATCACCTTGAAGAAAACATATCTGCTACCACTAAAATGACTAATAACAGCGAAATTCATGATGCCACAGTCTATCTTAGCAGTAAAATCAACGAAGCCATCATCAACCACGCCAAATTTATTCCAAAACAGACTAATTATACGCTCCCACACAATATTAGACAAGAAAATTACAGAGAAAAATAGACTAAGAAAAATTTATCAACGTTCCCACTCCACCCAAGACAAAAGAAGATTTAATGCTGCCAATCGAAACCTCAGAAAACTTATCCAAGAGTACAGAAACAATTTGCTGGGAGATAACTTCATTGAAAGTCTTTCGCACACCGACCACTCTGTGTGGAAAGTTGCTAAAGCTCTCCGAAGCACTCCCTCCAATATTGGACCCATTCTTGATGATAATAATACCAAAATTTACGATCATAAGAAAATTGTCAACCTCTTCGCTGATAACTATGAACAACAGTTTAATATAAATAATTTCCCACACCCGAATGATATCAATATTATCAATCACGTGACCGATTTCCTCTGCAAAGATCCTGAAAATCAAAACAACCCGACTTCTCCCAAAGAAATACAGAAAATTATAAAGAAACTTAATCCAAAGAAAGCATCTGGATATGACAATATCACTAATAAGGCCCTGCAATACCTCCCAAGGAAAGGCATCGTTCTTATTACAAATATTTTTAACGCATGTTTAAGACTTAATACATTCCCAAAAATTGGAAACATTCTAACTGTCATTAAAAAGCCTGGCAAAGCTGGAAATCTCACAAGTAACTTTAGACCGATCAGTCTTCTGCCTGCGATTGCCAAACTTTTCGAAAGGCTTATCGAGTCTCGACTCACCACTTTTGTGAATGAAAATAACATCATCAAAGACCATCAACTCGGATTTCGCCAGGGATTCTCAACGACTCAGCAGATCGTTCGAATCCTGGAATTCATAGGCGAAAATTTTAATAAAAAGGAAGTAGTTGCTGCTATTTTTATGGATGTAGAGAAAGCCTTCGATAAAGTTTGGCATCACGGTCTTATCATCAAGCTGATGAACTATAATTTCCCACCTGCCATCATCCATCTAATTCCTGATTTTTTAAAGAACAGAACTTTTCAAGTTAAGATTCAAGATAACTATTCCACCACAAGAAAATTTAACGCGGGTTACCACAGGGGTCGGTAATTTTCCCGCTTCTCTATAATTTATATATGAACGATCTTCCTAATATAGAAAATACTTTCACTGCATGCTATGCCGATGACATGGCACTTTTATGTCTCTCACTTAATCCATATCATGCAAGAAATAAACTACAGAATGCCATTAATTACATTTCACCCTGGTTTAAAGGATGGAAAATTAAAATTAAACCCGAAAAATCAAAAGTGATTTACTTTAAAAAAAGGAAATATCCCTCAAGACTTAGAAGAAATTACAATGGACGGACAAATCGTGTCGCGTGACCACCAAGTAAAATATCTAGGTGTTTATCTCGACCAGAAGTTAACTTTCAAATTTCATGTTAATTATATCAGAGACAAAGCACAACGTGCCTTAATGAGCATATACCCTCTGATGTGCAAATATTCGAAGTTAAATATCAACGCTAAAAGAACACTTTATCTACAGGCAATCCGACCCATAATTCTATATGCCGCTCCGGGCGTGGGCAGCTACTGCACGTTCAAACCGAGCAAGGCTTCAAAGTTTTCATCAGAGTAAAACTCTCAGATTCCTCTCGAACTCTCCGTGGTTCGTTAGGAACACTGTCATCCATAATTCTTTAAAGATTTTACCATTAGATGCTGAATTACTAAAGATTACATTCAAATTCTACGAAAAATGTGATTCCTCCACTCACGAAGTTATTAAAAACATAGGGGAGTACGACTATCTAATCGAACAGCCGCATAAACGGCCCAGAACTATACATCATAATGTTAGATGGTAGTTCTTGTATATATTTTATTATTTTCAACTATTTAATCTAGATTTTGTTTCATCTTTATCATCCTTTTCATCTTACTAATGTACGATACTGTGTCAAATATACGATAATGTGTAAAAGATATGCCAAAATTTAGTTGCTATTATAGCTTATCCAACGAAGACTTCATCTGTGGCCGATATAAGTCGCCACCCCTGATCAACTTCTTCACTACTGAAGACTTTGCACTTTTATTACAAGTGCACAGGACTTTTCCAGTTTATGGAATTTAACGAACTTTTACAGGTCCTTAGGGGATTGATAAACATGTAGTGGTAAAGGCCCTCGGGTCGAACACCACTTAACGAATGATGATCTCCGATCTCCGAATGTCCTGTTGTGCTGCTAGAAATGCATTAAGTCCCTTCTTTGAAACTGCGGTTGTCATTTTCAAAAAGGAAGGTGGCGAGCATGTGTGCAAAACACTATCACATTTCTTTTCCCTATATATATATTTTTTTTTGTGCTAACTGAAGTTTATCTCAAGGTATGCATTCGGCCGATGCTATTCTCACCACCGGTGCGATTAGCCGCTTAAGCTATTCGCACCAACATGAACCACGCATGCGCATTGACTTGTCAGATCCATCAATTGAACCCAATCGAAAGGAACGGATTCTTCGTTCGCGAACTGCTGTAGCAGGGATAAATAGAAGGGCTAGCTCATTTCTTTGTTCGACTCCTCGCCGACGCGAGCCTAGTGGGGGGACGTAACAGGCAATAATCTGACGTCACTGTGATGCCACCTGTCCTGATTTCCCGCGTTTAAAACAGTAGTTTCATTGAGCTGCGAGACGATTTTCTCTAGAGGTTACATATCCCAAATTAATTTTAATAATATATATATCTGTTTTCTAATAATGTATATATTTAAAATAATTTATCTATATGTAATTTTAGTCAGTTTTTATTTTAAATTCTATATTGTAAAGTATCGTTTACGTAATATGGCTTTTTGCGCGGCAGTAAAGTGCGTAGCACTACAGAAGTATGAAAGGATGAGATATTTTATTTCATGGGACCAAAGGATCCAAATGAGAGTTTGCTTTTGACGAAAGAATGGATACACAAATGTCAAAGAGAAGATTCTATAATGTGAAGAGCAGAAAAATCTGCAGCGAACATTTTCTATGCAGTGTTTTGAAGATAATATGAAAATCGCTTGTTTGGATAGCCACAAAAAGAAACTATTGAAATGGAATGCTGTGCCGAAAGTAAATTATGATGACAATAATAAATCGAAATTGATGATGGCAATAATAAATCAAATTTTAATGATTTTGAAATAAAACTCACAAATGAAAATGTAGATCAGCCTGAATGTTTAAGGATAAACAAGAATGCATTGATAATTTGAAGAACAAAATAATATCCTTAGAAAATTGTATTAAATTGTATTAAAGTATTGAAAAATAGAGAAAAGAAAAATTTTAGAATGTTTGTTCAGCGACAAAGAAGGTGGACGACATCTAGACAGAAATTGGTATCAGAAATTAAAATCTCAAATAGCGAAATTTAGGGGGGGGGAGCACAAATCGGAGTTTTTGGAAAAATGTCTAAAGCCTATTTTTATAAAGACGCAGATTAATGCATTACTGAAAAAGAAGAAAAATATCAGGTGGACTAGTGAAAATATCTCATGTTGCATTGTCATAAGAGCTCTGTCATCTTAAAGCTATGATTTTTGGAAAGAAAAAAAATTAAGAAAAAAATTGGAATATCTTTACCTAGTATTATCAAATTAACCATTTCTTTAATTTGATATTTTTTAGTGTTTTCTAAATTTTAGCGTAGTTTAAGAATTCAAAGTAATGTTCTTACTCTAAAGAAGGAAAGAGGCGAATATTTGTATTCTGTAGAAAAAATATGCGTTCTCAGTTTCGAAGAAATGCATATAGATTGAAAACTCTGCTATGACTCTAAACTGGA